CCCCAAAACCCCAAAACCCCAAAACCCCATTTTTACAAAAAGATATTAGAGATCGTTAACCATAACTATTTTACCAATGTTAAGGTTTGCTTCCATTCTTGTATGAGCATCAGCAACTTTACTGAGTGTTGTCACCGAGTCCACTATTGGTTTGAGTTCACCAGACTCGAATCCTGGAATACAATCTTCAGAGAATTTCTGTACAAGCTTTGCTTTGTACTCATTTGTTCTACTTTTGAGAGTAGAGCTTAGGAATTGAATTCTCTTAGCAAGAAGAGGGCCTAGATTAACGTTTTGAATTCTAACTCCTCCCATTGCACCATAAAGAACCCATTGTCAATCCATTGCTGCAGATTTAACATTATAGTCAAAATTCTGAGCTCCAATACAGTCGAGAATAATATTTGTTCCTTTGCCATTTGTGTATTCTTTCACTGATTCTGAAAAATCAGGGGTTTCTTTATAATTGATCCCTGCAACAGCACCGAGTTCGATAGAATGATCCAGTTTTGCTTGACTTGATGCAACTGCTATTGGCTTAACTCCTTGCATTTTTCAAATTTGTATAGCTGCTCATCCAATTCCTGAAGCAGCTGCATGTATCAAAGCATAATCTCCCTTCCTAGCATTTGCAACAAGGTTTAAGAGCTGGTATGAAGTTAGCCAAGTTTCAGGAATCGCAGCTGCTTCAGTAAAGCTCAAGTTCTCTGGGATAGGAATGATATGATCTTTATGTACTGATGCAATATCTGAGTATCCTCCTCCCTCGAGTAGAGCCATGATCCTAGAGTTGTTCTTATAACCACCACTCAGGTATTCCTCTTGACTATTACATAAATAGCCTGCTCCTTCAAGCCCGATAATTTTTGTAGCACCTTTGATTGGTGGGTAGAGACCTCTCCGTTGTAAAATCTCTGCTCTATTAACAGCTGTAGCTTCGATCTTAATGTAAACCTCTTTATCTCTTTTTCCTGGGAAATCAATCTGGTCATGGAATAAAGTAGATACATCTCCGTGTTCTTTCTGGTTGATGCAGTTGATTCTTGCTGTCCCAAATGCTCTGCTGACTTTTGACCACAGATGCATCTGTTTGTTACAGAAAATCCTAGATATCATGATAAATTTATAAAAATGGTAGGGGTTTTGGGGTTTTGGGGTTTTGGGGTTTTGGGG